TCTGTCTCTAGCACTATAAAAGTAAGATGTGATGTTGTTGACGTTTACTAAAGACACTGGTATAATAAATCAAATATTTAGGTATATTAATAGTACCATTACTCCATAGTATGTATGAATCCTATTTATCTTATTATTGCCATAATTTAAGCTAGGTTACATTGATTGACCTAAGAAACCTAGTATTCCTTTTTTTTTAAGAAACCAAGGGTTGAAAATGATTAGTCAAATATCAATTAAGAGAGGGTCTTGTCTCGTATATATATTGTTCACAAGAATAAGAACTATTCTAGGATAATTCTAAATAAGAACCATATGACCGTATAAAAATTTATAAATTATATTATTTGTTTGTATTTTTTACAAATTAATAGAAAACACTCACACATTTTAGAAAATTTAAGAATTATAACTACTTTAAAAGCCACAAAATGATCAACCCAATGTTGTTATATTAACCAAATATATGACTATAAGGATCATTGGATTTTTGTAGGCAACACTATTACATTGAACAATGTCATCCCTATATGTCATGCATTGCCTTCCATCCACTGATTAATATTCATTGAAAAACATCATTCAATTTATATAAATCTCCTCCTATGCTAGCTGGTTCCCATTCCCCTACATAAAATATTTATTGGCTAATGTCTCTTGAGTCCCCATTAAAAAAATATCTTAATTGTCCTATACAAGCAATTTCCATTAATTAACATCACAGAGAAAGCCACAAAATATGTTTTATAGAATTTTTTTTTCCAGTTTTTAGCTCTATAAAAGAATAATGTAACATCAAACAAAGGCTAACACATTTATTTTAAATTAATTTGTGGCATATACAATTATAACTCTCATTAATTATATGCTTGCATGACCATCATATAAAATATGATGAATTTAATATTTATTTATCATGCATTTTAGCATATAAGATTTGTAATATAATTGTTATATGCTAGCAAATTTGAGTTGATAGAGTGTGTGTTTTACATATTAAGCTTCTTATAAAAGTTTAGTATGCACGGATAAAAGTAGTAAGACCAAAAAACAATTTTGCTTAAAAAATTTGGAAAGAGAAAAAAATCAAAAGACCTAGCTTAATTGAAAAATCCACTATATATTCAAGATACAATAATTCTTCCTCACAATTAAGTAAAAGAGGACTATTAGAAAATAATTTGTTTGATTTCTCTTAGAAGGGTTAAAATAAATCAAGTGTGTACAAACAAACAACAACCAACAGTCGGGCTAAATTTCTCCAATAAGGATAAAAAAAAAGTAGGTGTCCATAAACAAATAACTATACCCAACAATAGGGCTATATCTTATAATATTTTTGGAGATGGTGGTGATTACTAATGGTGATCATCAACAATGATGGCAGTTGTTAGTGATAATAGCTGGTGGTGATCATCAGATGAGATAGTTGAAAAATGCACGAGAGTTCTATAATTCTCTCCTTTTTCCCTTCTTGAGGAGAAAGAGGCTTAATTTATAAACTTTTTGGGATAAACATTTTCATAATTTAAACCAGAATCCAAATCATTCCAACGTACCATCCATATCAGTTTTCTTGATCATAAAGTTTTTTTTAGCATTTAGTTGCCTAAATGATGTCAAAATTGAGTGATTTTGGGCTTGTTAGATTTTTCACATTGAGCCGCTTAATTCGACTATAACCATGTCAAATTTGAAGTTTAGATGATCATTATTTTGATTTCAAAAAGTTTTTAATTTAAATATTTTCTTGAGATTCATGCTGATTATATTTTTTTTCTAGAGTCGTATCATATGCCCCCTATTTTTAGATGTCAAAGTTTACTACGTCCAATTATATATATAGGTTTTAAATATTATTATTATTTTTTTTACTTTCTTAAGGATTTTGTTCTCTTTTTTTTTGTGTTTCTTTTTTTTTTGGAAAAAAGTTCTCTTTCTTTTTTTCTTAGAAAAATAATTTTTTTTTAAAGAGAAGTTATCTCTTCTTTTTTTCAAAAAATTTATATTTTTCATGAGTTTTTTTTTTTGTATTTTTTAATTTTTTTGTAAAATTTTTATGCTAATTTTTAATATTTTTTTCTTTAATTTTTTAATTATTAATCTTTTCCAGGTTTTTTATAAAATATTTTTATTTATAGTGATATAACTCTCTTTCTTAATGTAATGTAACATTCTTTATTATTGACATATAACTCTATTCATTAATGATACATAACTCTCTTCCTTAGAGTCATTGAACTCTCTTCCTTAAACTCATATAGCTGTCTCATTTAAAGTTATGTAACGCTCATCCTCTTCCTTCAAGTATAAATATTAAATACCCTTTCATCGTAGGAATAGTTTGAGCCATTTGTCATTTCCAATCTTTTTTATTGCCCGCTTTCCTTCTCCAATCTTTTCTTTCCCTCTTTTTTTCACCCTTTCTTTTCATATGAGGGACATTCCACCATCTTGAATAGGTGGTATCCCCTTTTAAGCTCCAATGCCCCTCTCTATGGAGAATGAAGTTCTATTGCCCCATCCTCTTTTCCATTTCTTCTCACAAGAGAGGTATTCCTATGTCTTAAATAAGTGTCATCCCCTTTTCAAGCTCAATTTCACCTCTCTGAAAAGAAAGAGTTTCTCCTACCTGCTTCTTTTCTTCACTTCATCTCACAAGAGAAACTTTCCACTATCTTGAATCTGTGGTATCCCAATTTCAAGCTCTAGTGTCTCTCTCCTTAGAGAATGAATTATTCTTCAAGCGAAGTTACTTATAAATTTTTATATTGAAGGTGTATTTTTTTGTATTTATCTTAAAAGAAAGTTGACTAACTCTATTTTAAGCAACTTATCATCATATTTTAAAGCTCTAATTTTTCTCCAAATAGAGAGGTAATTGATAAGTATAAATAATAGGTTCTTCTATGTGTTATAATTTTAGTAAAAAGTATTATTTTAGTTATATTGTGCAGAAAAATACAAAAAAGACTTAAAATTCAAATTTTCATACAGCACCACGATGTCGAAATATTCAATGCAGCAATGTCATGAAAGACATTGCTATAGCACCTAAATATAGACATTGCGGTAAAAATTTCTCTATCAAACAATGTCATGGCATCAAAAGTTCAGCTTTATAGAGTAAGCTTCTCTATCAAACAACACCACAACGGCACACTCTATAATTCCTCAGCACCAAATTGCTCTTCCAGTGCCGCAGCGTTTGAAAGTCAGCCGTGCTGCAGCGTAGTAATTGACTTCCTAGGGATAGGATTTATTAGTGCAATGATGCAACTATTCACTTAGTAACTAATCTACATCCGCAAGCACCATGGCGGAATAAGAAAAGTAGCGCAACGACGTTAGTTTAATCATTGAGCACAGCAGTGCCAATCATTTTTGCGCCTCAACTCCAGATGTCTAATTTTTATTTTCCTATAAATAGCCTTTTTGTTATGTTTCTAATGGATTTCATCCACCTAGATAATTTCAATACAATTCATAGTGCTTCTCTAAAACTCCCTTAGGGTGGCAACTAAGGGAAATTATAGAAGTAGTGGATACCAACAATAGAGAGTTTGGATTATAATTGTGGAAGCAAATTTGTAAGTAAAAAGGAGTGTAGAAGATATCCATTGAACCATTTTGGTGATATCTATCTCTGATGTCTTCTTTCTATCATGCTATTAATGAACATGAGTATGCTTCAATTCTACTCCATATCTGGTTAGATTCTCTAATTTTGAATTAAAGATGTAAATATTATATATACTACTATTGAGTTTGCTTATTCCTTAAATGGTTAAAATGATAATTTAATATTAGCATATCTTCATTTAATGCACATAATAGCCATATATACAATTAAAATTTGGTGTAATGTGGGGCCTTGATTGAGGTTAGCAGGCATAATAATGAATATTAATTTAGTATGCGTTAAACCTAGGCATAGGACAAGAAATATACTTAACTCTTAAGAATTATTAGGGAAAAATATATTATTTATACTTATTAATTTAATTTTTTCCATATCATTATGTATGATATATCAATTCAAAATATTATATTTGTATAATGCATTAATTATCTTATCTAATTTTATTTAAGTTATTGAATCTCCAAAACATTATTTTTTATCGATTAGGATAATTATTATAATTTTTGTAGATAATACTAGTTTTTTTGAGCATATCTTCCTCGTGGGATTGATACTATACTCTATGACTATATTACATGATTTGACATGTATATGTGCATACAATATGTTGGATTTTTATAATTTTCATACCAAAGAAAAACTAATTATTATAAGGAATTGATAGAGTCTTAAATCATTTCACAATTCTATAGGTTACTCCACATCCACCATCATATTTTATCTCCATTACAAGGGAAGTTTTTCTCTTTTAGTTAAATTCTCACTATATTATTGAATTAATTGTATAGTTAGACCAACTCACATTTTTTTTTATTTTATTATTTTATTTTATTTTATTTTACTTCGATTTTTTTATATCTATTTTGCAAGCTTTATAACCATAGGAAAGCACTTTTGATAATTGATACTAAAATTGAGAGAACCCTTTCTAAGATTCAAAAAACTAAAATCTTCTTTAAATTGGTTGAACCTGAGTTGGAGCAAAATCATTCTAGACCTCTTAATGATTATGTAAACCCTTTAGTAGACAGAATGCATAGAACTATAAATATACATATAATCTAAGCTAAGAATTTTGCATTAAAACTATATATTATTCAAATTATTCAAAATTCTCACTTTGGGGGGGAACTCCTGCAAAAGATCCCAATTTGCATTTAGCCAATTTTTTAGAAATTTGTGCAATATTTAAGTATAATGATGTTGTGATGATGATATTAAACTTAAATTATTTTCTTTTTCTCTAAGAGATAAAGCAAAAATATGGTTTAATTCTTTATCCCAGGATTATATAGCCAATTGGAATGAATTGGCTCATAAGTTTCCTGCTAAATATTTTTCACATTTAAAAACTACCAAACTTAGAAACGACATAACTTCTTTTAATCAATTTGATGGAGAATCTATTTATGAGAGTTGGGAAAGATTTAAGGAAATGCTTAGAAAATGCCTACATTATGCATTACCTAATTGGTTGATTAATCAAATATTTTAAAATGAATTAGTAGGATCTCTCAGAGCCATAGTTGATTCTATAGCTGGAAGATCATTAATGTTTATGTCGTTTGAGAAAGCCTATGAATTAATAGAAGAATGGTTACTAAAATTTTTTAGAGATATGATATATCTTTAAAACGTTGTTGGAATTTATGATTAGGATGCTTTATCAATTTCACCAGCACAAGTTGTAGTAATTTCTAAAAAAAATAGATAACTTGAAGATTAAAAAATATAGTAGATGAATATGATAACTTCATCATTTATTCTAAAAATGTTACACCACAAAGTTATCGTTCAAATTTTGAACAAATTTATCAAGAAAGTATAAGGAAAACTCCCTTAGAAAGCATTATTTTATAATTAGAAATCCAATCACAAAATCAATCTTATGCTCTTAAAAAAATTGAGGATAAAATAGGGCAACTACTTGGTTGATTAACTACAAATAAATTTAAGAAAAATTTCTTAATATTCAACTTAGAGGTGGGAATGGTTTTGGAGATCCATACAAAGATAAAGATTTATATAAAAAGGATGATGGTGAAGTTGAGCATGAAAAAAAAAAAAAAATCTTCAACGAAACAACTTGAACTTGTAAAAAACTTGAATGAGTAATTAGGAGAGTTGAAGATAGATGACTACCAGTCTTCCCACAAAGATTGATTAAACAAAATCTTGATAAATAGTTCTCAAAATTTTAATTTTTTTTAAAAAACTAATCATTAATAAACTCTTCCCTTAAGCTTTAGAACAAATGCCCACTTATGCAAAATTCATGAAGGATGTTGTAAACAAGAAAATGAAGCTAGGGAAATTTGAAACAGTGGCGATCCATGGGACGACCAACTTTGTACACGGGTGATCATCTAGCACTGTAGACATTGTATGATATGATCAACACAAAAATCATGAATTTTGTTTGGTATGATATATGGGATGACCAATTTTATATACGGGTAATCATATAGTATGAACTATATCGTATAGTATGATCAATCACAATATATATCCATGATTTGATTGCCTAATTTTATAGGATTAATTAAGAGAGATTTTAATTAGGGCATAGAGTACGAACTAAATTATACTGTATGATCAGTACAATTAGTATCTTTCTTAACCTTTAGTAGCTAGGGTTTTGACATAGCACAATACTTATTATAGTTTGAGTTAAAATCATGTAGTATAAATTTCTTTGTACAATACCAAACCAAGATCATACAGTATAAATTACTTAAATAAAACTTTCTTAAAAATATTTTTATTACTCTCCCTATGTGTGTAAGGCTACTCAGCAATGATATCCATCCAATTACATGATACAATTCAAGAAAGGAGAAAATACATAATAAAATGAAAACTAACTATAACCCTAGTCTATCCAGTCTTGAGCTAATCTGAATTGCAAGTAAATGGTGGACTTATTTCCTAAAATGTTAACAAAATAAAACAAAATATCATAGAAATAGGAGAAAGTAGTAACAGGCATAATAATATTTATTATCATCAAAATCATAGTATTTTAAATAGGTTTGTAACAAGTATAGATAGTCTTAAAAGAATTTATTGGGGCTTCTACTTGTTGAATTAGTTTAACATATGAGCAAACTGCCTCTCGCTTCAATGAGTAGAATGGTCCAGGGCAGTGACCCCAAGAAAAAACACCTCGTAGTAATTCTTAAATAACTCTTGAAATTTTAGGTCCTTCAGAAGAAAATATTTTATTATTTTAGTGTTTCTCCCTTATTTTGATGAATCCCATAAAGATGAATGAATTCCTAGATAAATTTTTGATTAACAATGAATTGTTCCATGAAATGCTTGGAAAGATGGGTGAAGTTATAGATTGTATTTTTAGATAGTGATTATAACCAAGTGCAAGATTGACCCTTAAGAGTAGCAAGAAGACTTGACAATGAAGTATATTAGAAGATTGTTGGATATACATGATGGCTCTATAATGAGCATTATGTTTGTAAGAATTAGAGGATCCCTCTTATGGATCAATAGTGGACAATTTGAATCCCATTGGAAAATAATGATGAAGAATTTTATTTGTTAAGGGTTATGACCCTTAGAAGCTATGTGGAGGAGTAAATGTATTCCATTCCCTCAAAGGATATTTCTCTTGAATAATACATCGTAGTATATCTCTTATAACATCCTGAAGAGTGTTAATAAGATGATGTTAATCTAAGTCATCCACAACTTGTAAAGGATTATGGGTTGGTTGAATAATACATGAGGATATGTTGAACTAGTTTTGTTTGATTTGTTTATAAGGAAGGAGGTGCTACTTGATTAATGTTATCTCTAAATTTTTATTGATATTGTGGAGGAGAACTCAATCATTTTGTGATTTTTCCCTTTATTGTCAAGCCTCCCTGAATAATTGAAGGATTTAACTATAAAGTTCATCTATCCTATGCATATGATTCTCTAAAGTGAAGCCTAAGGGGGACTTGATCATCCAAATTTTATTTTTCTTGATTGAGGGATTGATTATTAGCCATTAAAAAAGTAAGCTGCAAAAATTCCCACAAACAGTGCCAAATTGTTATGTGGTAGAAAATTTTAGTAGATAAAGTGTATGTTTTATGTCTTAACAATATATAAAAATTTAGCACGCACATATAATAGTAGTAAGACAAAAAAAAATTATGTGAAAAATATTGAAAGGGTTAAAAACATGAGAGCTAGCACAGTTAAAAAATCTATTATATATTAGAATATACAAGAATCATTCCTTCCTCATAGTTAGAAGAGGACTATTTGAGAATAAGATATTTAATTTCCCTTATAGGGGTGAACAAAAATAAGTTATCCACAGATAGACAACCCAACAATAGGGCTTAATTTTTTCAATAGGGGTTGTAGAAAGAAAGCGTCTACAAGAACATAACAATACCCAACAACAGAGTTATATATTTTCAAAATTATAGAGATTGTAGGTATTACTAATGATGATCACTGGTAGTGATGGTTCTTGGTGGCAATAGCTAAAAAATACAAAAGAGTTGTCAAGTTCTCTCCTCTTTTTCCTCTCATGTGAAAAATGTGGCTCTATTTATATTCTTTTTTGGATTTACATTCTGGTAATTTGAACCATAATAAAAAATACTTCATTGTACGGTCTATATCAATTCTCTAAATCATGAAGTTTTTTTTAAAACATTTAAGTGCCTTAATGATATCAGAATTGAATGATCTTGGGCTTGTTGGATTCGTCTCACCAAGCCGCTCAATTTAAATATAAGTATGTCAAAATTTGGAGTTCATATAATCTTTATTTAATTTTAAAAAATTTTAACTCAAAGATTTCCTCGAGATTTGTGCTTATCATATATTTTTTAGAGTCATATCAAAAGTATTTATAAAAAATATGATTAATTATTAAAATTTTATTACATTAGTTAAAATATATAATTTTAAGAAAATAAAAAGATCAAAGCTTTACAATTTTATTACTTTTCATTTTTAGGCTATAAAAACAATTAGAGGGCACTTTGGTTTGCTAAAAAGGAATACAATATAAGGTAAATACATTAGAGTTATGTGGATGAGTGTAACGTAAATTAAGATGAATGATATTTTTTGTTTGGTTTGAACTAAAATGAATATAATATAATGTTTAAAAATAGTGGCTGGCGGCGGGTGACGGCGACAGTGGCGGTGGCGGTAGGAGGTTGGCAATGAAGGAGGCCTACGGCGACGGTAGAGGTGGCCAATAAGGACTGGCGATATGAGGTGGTGGTGTCCAAAGGGTGGAAAAAGTGGTGGCTTATGGTCACCGGTGGTTAGGGTTGTCAATTTGGGTCAATGGGTCGGGTTTGGGTTGAACCTGTCTTAACCTGGTCGTAAACTGGTCTATACTAACCTGACCCAATTTTCAAATGAGTCAAGATTGTCAAACCGACTCAACCCACATATTGAAAAGGTTAGGTGAGCGAGGACAGCCATTGCGGGCTCACCGGCTTAGGCAGTTAGGTGGCATGGCGGCAGGAGGCAGGTGAGACAAGCACGGGTGAGGCGGTGCCAGACTAGAGCGACCTGTCGGTTCGGAGCGGCTTAGGTGGCATGGATAACATCAGAGATGCAAAAGTTGAAACAAGGAGGCTCTAGTTGCTCAGGTGGCTTGGCAAACATGGAGGCAGAAGCTGGTGCCGGACCAGTGGCCTGACGTGATGGCAACTGATGTGTGAACGGCTAATGCTTGGACTACTGATGCCCGAATAACTAACACGACGACGACTGACCCGTGAAAATGATAAGATGGCGACGCGACTTGACGTGGTCACTTCAAATTCCCGGGTCATACCGGGTTAGTTTCAGGTTTCTTAGTCAACCCGAACTTGACCCAATTTTACAAACCATTCAGAATTCTGAACTCGAACCCGACCTGTTTCATAAATAGGTTTATCCTAACCCAAAAATTTTGGATCAGATTTGGGTCAGATTTTTGAGTCGTGTCAAATATTGACACCCCTATCGGTGATAGTTGTGGTGGTGTAATGCAATTTAATAGAATATTTCGTACAACAAGATGCCTCTCAACTCACCTCCGTTTGGGCCAAAGCTCACTGATGGAAATTTAATAGAATCGTTCTCCAAAGAAAATTAAGGTACCATAGGGATTAGTGATCCACCAAATGCTAACAGATCACAAGCGGCATTAAATTTAATGAGGAATAGTTAGACAGCCATTTATGCCCACTTCAGCTTTATGCTGGACCAATCAATTGATATTTATCATGTTCTCAACCAATCTTCTGTGAATTTGTCCCCACTATATTAATGAACTTTTGAGAAGTGGGCCGTCCTTTTTAATGTATCCTAAATTACAAATCTTAGAATATAAGATCGCATGAGAATATATATGGGAAAATTTTTGAATAATATATTCTAATATATAGTTGATGAGAATATAATAATATAAATTTAATTATAATGCACTTTTAAAAACC